AGATAAATAAATAAAATCTTTTTAAAAAATCCCATTTTTTGGGCCCCCCTCACAGATTCAGAAAATAGCTCTGTGCAGACCAGTGAGAATCTGGGGACAGTGACTGGAGGGACCAGGGGCTGGGGGACGAGCATGGTGGTGAAAGGTAGGGACCTGACTCTTCTGCTTCGATCACTGTCCCTGTGCACATATCACGTCCTCACACTCACGCCTTTCAGAACAAAACACTCACAAAGCCACATGCAAGCATGAATTCTGAACACAGCTTGGTGTGACCAAGAGTGAGTCCGTGACTAAGGGGCAGGGGAGGAACACCGAGCTGCCGGCACAGGGCTCACTCAGACTGACTCGGACAAGCATGTGGCTCCCGTTCATCACACTTGTGCCTGAAAACACCTTCCCCTTCACGTCCCACAGGCCCAGGAAGGTCAGGGGCTCCTCACAGCAGGCAGAAGCCACCCCGCTGAGCATGCTCACCCTGTGTTCCTGGGTGACTAGACCACTGCTCTCCTGTCCCCTACACCCCTGTGGCTGTGGCTGGGGCTCCAGCCCTGGCCGTCCACCGGTGAGCCGCAGTGAAGATCCTGGAGCTGTGGGCCCTCACCTTATCTCCTCTGAACATTAAGTGCAACCAGACTTCACAAATGCTTTTTAACAGACATGTTTTTAAATGGGGAAAAACTACTTTCTTCATGCAAATAACCTTAGTGGTAACAAAATGAAGTTTTTAAAAAAGCAAGTAAAAAAATTTTTTAAAAAAAAGCAAGTCATATGTAGTTTAAATTAATTTCATTACTCATTCGAATAAAAAAATTATGGTAAAAAATGAATATATGTCACAGAAAATTTATATAACATGACAATTTCCAAAAAATCAAATGCTCAAATTGACTGCTAACCATTTTTAAAAAGGAATTGTGGCATGTTTGTTGATATCTTGACTTAAAAAAAACAGTTATGAAGTTTCTACTATTCATCCATTTGGGTATTTTCATTAGCAATTTCCTCCACTTACCAATATAAACAGAATGATCAGTTTCACATGTGTCTGAAGTTAGTATTTCTCACTCTCCAGCACTGACAGGATACTAACAGTTCCACACAATTCAAAAAAACATTCCAGAAAGACACTTCCCTTTGCATTAAACCAGAGTAAGGGAAGGGGGAGGGTGTGTTCGTAAGTAAAAGGCAACTAAGTATCATGTGTTATACTGTAACATCCAACACACATCACTGTGCACTCATCCAAACCCACAGAAAGCACAACACAGAGGGAACTTTAATGCATCCACACGGGTTCATCCACTGTAACAGATGCACCACACTACTGCCAGATGCTAGTAACGGGAGAAATGTCAGGTGGAGGAAAGGGAGGAAAAGGGAACTCTGCACCATCTCTTAATTTTCTGTAAACCTAAAAAAAGCTCTAAAAAAGTCTATTTTTTAAAGCAACAGATAAACATTAAAAAAAATATTAATTCTACTGCCACTTTTACCTCAACTATCATGGAAAGTTTAAAAAGATTGATTTTCCTTCCTCTCTATAAACTCTTCTGTATCCACCTCCATTTCTTTCCTTTGAATCTCATAGTATTTCCCTCTTCTGCTCACCGGCTTCTCCTCACTGTTGCCTCTGCCAGCCCCTGAGAGCCTGCAACCCTTCCTACTCTAAACTTGCTCAAGTTTCTCTCCCATCCAAAAAAACAAGTACCTTCCTAGACCCTGAGCACAATCTCCTTGGGGTCCTTTGCAGTGACTCCCCGTTCACCACCCCCACTGAGTTCCAGTGCCGCACTCTAAGTTCCAGCCCCTGCTGCCCTGCCACCCACTCCCTCTAAAGCCACCAGGTCCTCCTAGTGGTTAGTCTCTCCTCACTGCACCCCCACCACACTAGGCTTTGTGGGCACCCTGCCCTCACCCCACATGACTCCTTCCTACACACTCGCCCGCCCCACTTATTAAATGTTACAATGTCCCACAAGTTCCACCTGGTCGGAAACGACGCATTCTTACTAGGTGGCTTCATTCTAAGCCTCCACCTGCTATTAGGTCCCAAATCCACACATATCTACCTCAGGTCCACAGGAACCTGGACCCTTCACTTGGCAAGCACTCCCTCTTACTGCACAGACCCCACACGTCTACAGGGTTCTGACTGCAGCAATGGCTCTGGCCTACACTGAACTCATCAGGTGAAAACCTCCTGGGCCCACAGATTCCCTCTTTTAAGAATTAAAATTGAGCCCCGGCCAGTGGATTGAGCACCAGCCTGCAAACCAAAGGGTCACTGGTTCGATTCTCAGTCAGGGGACATGCCTGGGCTGTGGCCCGGTCCCCAGTAAAGGGCACAAGAGGCAACAACACATTGATGTTTCACTCCCTCCCCTTGTCCCTCCCTTCTCCTCTGTCTAAAAATAATAAATAAAATCTTAAAAAAAAAGAATTAACATTGAGACCCAACTGCCTCTGTTGGACACTGAACTAGGAAATCATACTCAGCCAGGACCAACTGCAGGTGAGAGGGGAAAGTCAGCCTGCAGAGAGCCAAGACTGCAGCAGACAGGCCCCAGGGAGCGAGGAGCCCCTGGGTGCAGATGACTTGCTGTGTGGACAGGCCGCTGCCCTGCCGCTCTGTGAGCTGCTGTCTCTCCTCCCCGTGCACTTCTGTTTTGCCACTAAGTTGGTTTCAGTGGATTCCTACACTCTAATCAAATTAACTCCCAAGACACTCTTCTGGGCACTGCCAATAAACGACATCACGCCACCACGATGTATCTGGATTTCAGACACGCCTGAGAGTAGAAGCTGGTGTGACTCAGGGTCAGTGGAACCCAGCGAGAACTAGCTCTGCGCACGCCCTCCCACCCACTGGGACGCCCTGGCTGTCCCTCACCTGCCCCAGTCCCACTCATCCTCCGGGACCAAGCCCCAGACAGCGTTATCCTTTCCTAGATTGCTCCCATGGGAAGGCAAGATGTCACAATAACCCTCTATTGTAATCTAACCTTTAATTGTTTAAGTCTCATGTTCCCAACAAGACTGTAATGAGGGCACAGACGTTTCCTTAAAATGTTTCAGATCCTACACAGAGCCTTCAGAAATAAACATTAAAAATACGCGTTTACTTTGGGGAAAAAGGATGTATTTACGCAAGAGGTGGCAACTATTCAGTTTTCCACGAAGGTCACGAAAGAAGGGAAGATTTCAAATAATTTAAGACACAGAGGAGAGATCATTACTGTGGCTTTTAAATAAGGTCCCTTACTGGTGTGGCTCAGTGGACTGAGCGCTGGTGTGCAAACCGAAAGGTTGCCGGTTCAATTCCCAGTCAGAGCACATGCCTGGGTTGCAGGCAGTAGGGAGTGTGTGAGAGGCATCCGAATGATGTTTCTTTCCCTTTCTCCCTCCTTTCCCCTTTCTCAAAAAAAAAAAAAAAAAAAAACTTACAAAAACAAAGTTAAGGGAAAGAACAGAGAATTAAGGAAAGGAAGCATGTGCACAAATGTTCAACATCACAGTTGTCAGGAAGCAGAATTCAAACTACAATGAAACTACACCCCTACTGTAACTGCCAGAATTAAAAGGACCGACAATACTAAGTGTTGGCAAGGAAGTGGAGACATATGCACCCTCAGGCCCTGCAGAGTTGGGACGGGGAATGTGGAGCTAGCCCACCCCTGGGGAGGTGAATCTGAGTAACGTGTGACCCAGCTTCTGAGTGTGCCCCTGGCAGAGTGACACGCAAACACTCATAAAGAAGAGTGGGTCAACGGCAGTGTGTTCACACAATGCCACGAGCCCAGATGGGTGGATTCCACCTCCCAGAAATACGCTGAGTGAGCCACGACGCCAGATCCAACAAAAAAGGAGAAACAGTCTGAGACTCCCTTCACATGATGTTCCCCTGGGAAAACTGACCTGTGTCAAAAGAGGGTGGGAATCTCGGGCTGGGACTTGGGCGGGAGGGGGCAGGAGGAGCGGAGCCTGAGAACAACACGGACGACTGGAGGTCACATGGGTGTGTCCACAGGTAAAATCCTTCACGTTGAACCTACAGTGCAGCACGCGCCTCCCCCCGCCCCCCGTGTTCCCGTGTTACAGCCACCTGTTAGGTCAATCAGCCCCTCTGCGGGCCGACAGAGAGACAGCCTCACCTGGGAGGAGCCTGCAGGTAGGCACTGACTTCCAGGAGGCACAAGATGCCAGTCTCGCTCCAGAGTTCTGGGTGCCCTCCTGGTAAGACCCCTTCCTCGCCACCTCCCCTCCAGTCCCCCAGCACGGGGAGGAAGCGTGTGTGACCCCGAGTGATGCAGGGTCTGCACCTCAGTGAAAAGCGGGAGAAAAGACAACCGTTTGCACAGCTAAAAAGAAAGACGTTCGACCGCCCTTTGAGATGCTGATCAAAGAGCTCCCTTCCTCGGAGCGGAGATGTTCCCGGGTGACAGCACAGGGTCGGCCGCAAGCGGGATGCCTGGAGCACACCTGTCAGTGGCGCGCGGGTAGCCAGGCCCATTGCGAGCGAGGGTCGTAGTTCCGGAGCCGGGACCCGCGGCCGGCTGGCTGTTTCTGTGCCGAGTTACTGCGGCTCGTCCAGCCTTCTCCTAAACAAATCTAAGACTCGCAGCAGGAAAAGTCTCCAAAGGCCGGGAAAGAATAACGTTCACAGTTTCGGCCTGGGAGGCGCGGCCGATGGGCGTGCGGTCCGGATTTCGGAGGCTGCGGACAAGGGCGCACGCGTCCTGTTTACTTCCCTCGACAGGGACCCCTCGGGGAGCGCCCTCCAGGAAGCGCTGCGCCGGCTCGGGCGTAACAAAGTAGCGCAGCCCGTTTCCAAGAAGAAACACTGTGTCCTTAGCTACGTACACCGAGAGAGCTGCGCGCCTCCTGCCTCCCCGCAGGGTCCGGGGCGCGGCAACCCCCGCCCCGCGCACCTGCTCAGGCCCCAGCGCCAGCCCGGCCGCTCCCGTTCCCCTGCCCCAGAGGCCCAGAGCCGCGCTTACCTTCCGGCTCGCACCTCCGAGGGACACCTTGGGCCTCGTTTTGAAATCGCCTTCAAAACTGAACATCTTTACAGCTTATCCCATCTGGGATCCGCGGACCCTGAGAGCAGCAGCGGGCGGGCGGGCGGACAGGGCCCGGGGGACGGTCCGGGCGGGAAGGACGAGGCTGAGCCGCGGAGCGACCCCGAGCCCGCCCGGGGGACTCTGCCCACCCGGGCCTGCCCTCAGGTGGGGGCGCGGCAACAGTGGGGGGCGGCTCCTCCTCACCTCCCCCCTCATCCACGCCTCCCCACAGATCCTGCCGAGGCGGAGGGCGCCACAGCCAAGCGGACCCACACTAGCGCCGGGAACAGCTGCCGGGGAGGGGGGGGGAAAGATGGCCGCCGGCCGCCGGCGCCGTGCGCGCGCCCGCCATCGACGCCGCGGCTCTCCTCCAGACGCCCGACTGACGGGCGCGCGCCCGCCATCGACGCTGCGGCGCTCCTCCGAGCGGCCCGCTGGCGTGCGCGCGCCCGCCCGCCAGGAACTGCGTTGGAGCGTGGAAACGTGCCGCGGTTACCTGGGGTCTGCGGCTGGGGGCGAGGCCGAGGCTAAGGGCGGGGTAGAGGGCGGGGCTACCTGGGGGCGGGGTCTAGGTCAGAAGCGCCGGAGGTGCCGTGTTGTGTTTAGTTGTGAGTTACGCGCCTTTCTCGGATTAGAAGCCAAACGACTCAAGGGGAAGAAAAAGATCAAAGATCCTTAGTTCCTGTAGGGAGTGTGTACGTATTCCATGTGTATCACATGCGTACATGCATCCGGAAATGTGTATCATGTACACATGCATGCATAATTATACATGTCACGGGCACATGCGTAGAAAAAGAAGTATATCACAAACTTCTAAATATAGAAGTGCATTATAAATATATCATGGACATGCACATATGCATAAATATAACGTACACATAGATATCAAGTGCATGCACAAAAACGTATGTCATAGTCAAAAATATGTACACACAACTGAAACCAAAATTTTAAAAACTAATATTTATCACTACAGCGTGGGATGCAGTGATGTGTTTTTCTTTTAATGCTACTTGAAAATTGCTTGGTACATTTCACAACCTACAAATGGGCTTCAATCTCAGAAAAGTTTTGCTACACACACGTATACATATGTGAATTCAGTCACAATATAGAGTATATTTTTTATGATAAATCAAGATTAAAAAAACTTTGAAAGCCACTGGATTAGTGTGCTGATTCCGGATTACTATATTCATCTAGTCTGATATGTGAAGAAATCCTTAATTCATCAAAATGCCCAGACTTCACCAATTTTGATATCTTACAGATTGTGAGAAATATCATGCTATTTTTAACCCATCCAGTGGGCAAAGATTAAAATATTGGTAATATCCAGCCATGGCTGGTGTGGCTCAGTGGATTGAGCACTGGCCTGTGAACCAAACAGTCACTGGTTCGATTCCCAGTCAGGGCACAGGCCTGGGTTGCAGCCCAGGTCCCCAGCTAGAGATGTGCAAGAGGCAACCACACATCGATGTTTCTCTCCCTTTCTTCTTCCTCCTTTCCCCTCTCTCTAAAAATAATTAAAATATAAAAAGTAAAAAAGAAAATAAAATATTAGTAATAGTCATGATGTACTACTCTCAGTAACTGATTCGGCTCTGAGGTCTTTGATTTTGCCTCAAATGCTTCCGAGGGCCAGAACAGGAGCGAGACGTGGGGGAGCAGGACTAGCTGGAGCACCAGGCCCAGCTCTCCAGCTTCAGCTCTGTTGGTAATAAGGTGAGCTGTCTCCATCTGCTGGGTACCACTCTAAGTTTCTAACTGGCAGGAACACAGGCAGGGAAGAGGGGTCTATGTACTGGCCTCTAAAACTCCCAGCAAAGGAGCTTCAGACCCCAAACTCCTGGATCCCCAAGGGGTCCCCTCCTTTAGCCCTCAGTCCCCTGCACTGTGGAGCCAGTGTACCTGTGCTAATTTGGTGATTGTACTGCAGGTGCTTTCCTCAGTACTCACTCCACTGAAGAATGAATAGCCTGCCCTCAGGCTGTGGGGGAAGCTGGATGAACCAAAAAGTGATTATTTGTCTCTAGTATGATTCCTACTGAAAGATTCTCGAGGAGTTTAAAAAATATTTTTAATAGAACACGTCCAGCCTAGTAATTCAGGAAGAGTAGTGTAATCTGTCCCCATGATGCATCATGGAGCTTCCATGGCCAGTTTTCTGTGACGTGTAGCCTGTCCATTCTTCCCACTCCTTTGCTCCAATGAGTTGCTTACATTGAATGAAACGCAAAGTAAGCAATATGCTATATTCTTAAGGTATTGTTTTTGGAACCTTGCGAGACCTCGTTTTATCTAAAGATTCTAACTGAAAGTCAGGAGTTATTTCAGAAGTTCCCCTGCAATGTGCAGGAGAGGAAAGAAAGAACTGCTTCCATCAGGAAGACCATTTGTTCCTTTTCATCTTACACTCTCTTATCTGAGTTACCTCACAATTCAAATATTGGGTGATAATTGGGGAAAGCACATAGGAGGTCTGTCTGGAAAAAGTCCAGCCACTGGTAATGGGATGAGAACGGTTTGTGTGACATCACTGTCACCTGGCAGCCACGGAGCGTGGACTGGGATGCACATGTGTGAACAATGACGACTTCACTGTACTAGTCAGTGGGGGCGGTAGACACTGTTTAGTGAGCACGTGTACTGTGTGGCCAACACATTCGAAGTGACTGAGCAAGTAGAGCAACAAATCTGCGTCAAATTTTACATTCAGCTTCAACGTTCCTCTGTGGAAACTATTTGGGTGGTTCATAAGGCCGCAGCTCTGGGCAAGTGTTGATTGGCAGCTTCATCACGACAATACACCTGCTCATGCATCACGTCTCCTGTAGAGTTTTTTGGTGAAACATCAAATCACCCAGGTGACTTAGCCCCTTTACAGCCCAGATTTGGTGCCCTGGGACTCCCAGCTTTTCCCCAAACTAAAATCCCCTTTGGAAGGAAAGAGGTTTCAGACCTTTGATGAGATTCAGGAAAATACAATGGAGCAGCTGATGGTGATTGGGAAAACTGTCTGAGGTCCCAATGTTACCGAACAGATACACACACGGCGGGGAGGGGCAATATTTGGCCCACCCAGAGATGCCAAAAACTTACTGAACAGAGGGGGCCGAGGATGGTGTACTAATACTGAAAGGACCCCCCAGGTTCGTTATGTTCGCCGCCCTATAGGAAAGACGTTTCTCAATGCCAGAGATTTGTGAAAAGGAAAGGGTATACTTATTTAATGCTATACAGACTTAAAGTAGTGACCCAACATCCTCATCAAAATATCAAAGTCCTTTAGGATACCCACAGATGCCCACAGTGCTTCCTTCTCCCCTGCCCTAATTCAGGGCACTGTAACTCAGGAAAAGAAGCACATGCCTGTGTTTCAGGCCAATGGAGAAACCAAGTTGTGTCCCAGTCCAGGCAGGATCTCTAATTAATAAAAGCCATGTGGCACCTTCTCATGGTCCACTGGTAAGAGTTCTTTGTACCCATTTTCCAGGCAAGTCTCTCCTGCTTCCCAGGCCATGTGGCCAAAGGGAGCACCCCAAAGCCACGTGGGCCTCTTCTACCAGAGCTGCAGGGGTCTGTACTCTGGCCAAAACCGCATGGTTCTTTCCTCCACCAGAGCTGTGGAGAGGGTAGGGTCGCCACTCTGGCAAAACCGAGTGATGATTCTCTGCTAAAACTGCATGGTGGTTCCCCCTACTAAAGCTCTGGCGAAGCCTTGTGGCTCTCTCTCCTTCCCATGGCTGCAGGGGTCCCCACTCTGCCAGAAGCACGTGGGTTCTCTCTCCTCAGTGGCTGCCCAGTCTGGGTTTAAACCCCTCGCGGCAGTCCTCCTTTGCAGCCCCATTTCCAACCCCTCCCACAATCAGCTACACCTGCCAGCACTCCCATATTATTCCAGGTTTTACTGGGCTGCCATCATGAATCTGGGCAGGTGTGGCCCCATGATGTGGAGCCAATCTTCTTCAAGCTCTCACGCAGGCCCTGTAACCAGGGAGACCTGCCTCCAGTTAGTCTTTCGGGGGAAGTCCCTTTCTATCCCCCTGGCTCAGGGCATGGCCACAGCTATTTAACATATCTATGCAGCAGTTAAAAATGATAGATAAATTTAAATGACCATGCCAGAGGTTAGCTGCAAAGCTGTTTCTTACAAAACAGCTCTCAACAGCCCTGCTCCATTTGTGCCTTCCCCAGCTCACACCTGTGGGGGGAAGGGGTGAGGACATCTTAATATTTCCTGGACACCTTGAGTTCTGGACCTCATTCCAAATCCCTCTTTGGGGCCCCGCTCTTGGCTGCACCCTGTTATACCAAAGTGCCTACTTTGAAGGGGGACTGAGGTGCCATTGTCCTACGTACAATGTTTCTTGTATCTTGTATCTTCTTCAGTAATGTCTATTTTTCATGTTACATGACTGGGTACTTTCTGGACAGGCCAAATTATATATATAATATATTACCCGAGGACTTTTTTTTCCATTGCTTTTTAAGGGAGAGGAAGGGAGAGCCCCAACAGGTGTGGCTTAACTGGTTGGACACCACAGTGCAAAGAAAAGGTCACCAGTTCGATTCCCGGTCAGGGCACAGGCTTGGCTTGTGGGGGGCCAGCTTCCCAGTTGCAGGGGGTGTGAGAGGCAACCCATCAATGTAAACTTCCCACACATCAAAGTTTCTCTCCTTCTCTTTCTCCCTCCCTCCTCCTCTCTCTAAAAGAAAATAAATAGAATCTTAAAACAAAAGGGACAGAGAGGTAGGAGGCAGAGACAAACACGCCTCCTACATGCACCCTGACCAGACTGACGACCTCTCAGTCCGCGGGACGAAGCTCCAATCAACTGAGCCACACAGGCCAGGGCAGTTATATTTTTAATGTAAGAATTTATGATTTAGAATAGTGATGCATGTTAATTATTAAGAAAAATCAAAACACTACCAGCACAAGCAGAGTATAAGAAAAACTTTCTGTCTGCTGTGCATTCCCCACCTCTGTCTGCAATGTATCTATTTATCATCCCTCTGTGTCTGTTTATCATCAGCTATCTATCTAAGACTATCCTGTCCATCATTCATCTATCTTAGTGTTCTCTCACTGCCGTAACAGATGCCCACAGACTCAGTGGCTTAAACAACACAAGTCCATCCTCTCACCGCTGAGGCACTCGGAGGGCTCCTTATGCTAAGAGAATGGTGTCTGCAGAGCTCTCAGAGGTCCAGGGGCTGGGGGTGGAATCCATTTCCAGCTTCTAGAGGCTTCCCGTGCTCTGGGGCGCCCGGCCCCTTCCTGCCACAGCCTCCCGGCTGTCCTCTGCCTCTGCCCTCCCA